GCAGATTGCAATTTTTGGCAATCAACTTGCTGATTTTAGGAGACGTCTTAACTCCATTCGCCATTCTTTGTCCTGTCAAAAACATCTTTAAACGTAATCTATTTTCGAAACTATCTCACAGCTTTTTGAAAGAGCCACATACTTTCCTGTTTCGACCTTATGATCGCTATCCAAATGATTTTTTCAATTTACTTGATCGTGTGCTTTCATTTGTAAGAGGGTTTTTACAAGGTAAACACATAGATGATGCGATAAATCCAGATGACAGGTAATCCACGAAGTATTGCCGAGGAGCTAATTTTCTGAAATGTCTCATTGCAAATGGTTTATATGTACTACAATGTTATATTTATTTGTTTTATTTTTATTTATTATTGTTTTATTTTATTGTTTATTTTTATTTATTTATTATTTTATGTTTATTTTATTTTTTATGTTTTATTTTTCCTACACAGTTTATTATGGGTATGAAATAACACCATTCGACAAAGCGAAACACGCAGGTAGTATGAATTTTAGGTGCTACTCAATTTATTCTTGCTTGACTGTCAGACTACAGTATAACACATTTAGTAAGCATACTCGTAGCATCTGATAGTGGATACAATATTATAATGTAAAGTGTAGAAACACTGTTAAGAGCAACCCAAAGGTCGTTACTGAGAATGCTATTCAAACTACCGTGGCAAGCTAAATGGACTGAAGCAAACTTCTTGAAAGGAGCCTATGAATAAAACAAATGGAACACACAGATGACAATGCTCACTGGACACATATTCATTACAAACACATTAAACCAGAGGCAACAGGTAAAAGGAAAGACCGAAGAGACGAACACGGAAGAGGATACCGAATAGTTCAAGAAACCGGCACGGGCGGGTCCACAATCAAACTAATAACTCACATCGGCTGTTGCCTAACATGCTAACAAATGCGTGTTGATTATGATGAGTATTAGGAGAAGTATCCTTAAGTCCACATCAATTTACATATACTCACCAAAGAAACCGGACATCCATGCGTAAGCTGAAAGTTGCCAAAACTTCTCGCCAATTTGAGAACTTCAGCTGAACTGAATATGAGAAAAGCGTTATAACGCGTCCTACCTGTTTCGACTGTTAGTCGAAATGAACAAAACTTCTGCAGAGATAGAACCGCACGCGCGCACAGTAGCCATTAGAATTCGGAGCTTTGCGAGCTAACGTGACCTAGCCGTCAGATGACTACGTGATATGAGACTGGAGACGAAAAAGCGCATAACAGCGCTACCACACTGAGACCGGAACGTGAAAGACCGACCGATACGAGTCCTGAAGAAAACTAATTGTCCATGTGGCTGTTCGGTAACTGCCGCAGTATTCTGAGGAAGGTTCGCTAGGTTCACTGCAGCTTGCACTGTAGATGCATCCGTGTCCTAAATGAAACTGAGATTGTCACTGTAAATACACATCAACTCTTGGGGACGAATCGGTTTTTATTTGTGCAGTGCAAGTCGCCGTATGGTGACCGTATGTTTGAGCTGAACCCAGCGAAATTTGCGCAAGTTTGGCTGAGATATGACAGCAACGCAACGGAAGTCTCCCTATCCTGCTTCCATAATTACGTAAACGGCCACTTGTGCGCCCGCAATTCACTTCACTGACTGGTAGCTACCAAGATAGGTTAGTGCGCGGAGCGAAGGTATCAAAAAAGGTTTTAAAAATGATCTTTTCGGGTTCTCACAAACCACTCTGTAGAACATGGCTCAGTAATCCCAGTTAAGGCCACCCTGAAATATTTTCACATCACAAGACCACCCGGGAAATTTCTGTGGCCTCCAGAGGGGCCATATTGTAGGGCGGCGGAAGCCAGTGACTACTCATGAACCGGAACGATAATAAAAACGGGACTGTAGAGAAACAACACCGGGCGCAATGGATGAGACGAAACAAGGCTCTGCGAGCTGGCGGCATCTGGTGACGAGACTGAGCCTAGAACAATGGAGGAGGTATTCGTCGAAAACGCAATGAATCAAACAAATACGCCGCTAGCAAAGCCAATAGAAGTGAACGCGCGTCGAGGGATGCAGCCAGGGGAGAGCAACTCGCGAGCTTTCGAACGACTCGTCGCCGGCCAGAATCGGATGTATCGAAGCGGAGATGCGGGATGGAACGATGGAAGGTTTGTCTCAAAGCCAAACCTCATAGTCACTTGGAATGGCCCGCCACACAAATTCTCCTCCGGGTTGCGTTGTCGGAAGGAAACCTGGTCCAAATCTGTACGGGTTTGTGAGTTATCAGTGGCACGTTCTTGTGACAATACACGCTCTGCCCTCTCCCCCCCGCTTCGTTTGGCTACGATATGTCCCTGTTGAGAATGGCTGCTTTGTGTGGGTGTAAATTTAGTCTGAGTACATGAGGCGCCTTCATCTGTGTGACCGTCGCTGCCTGTGAAGCATTGCTGGTGTCGGATGGCACCAGCACGTCCGCAACGATGATGTGCGTAGGCAAGTGATAGAGCGTGAAGATCATGCCAATTCTTTAGAAAGTCAGATAACACGAATGAGCTGCGTTGGTTTGGGCACGCGCTACATAAGCCCAGTCCACTATCACCAGGGAGAGTCTTGCTTTGTTTCTCAAGTGCATTGAACCGAATTCCAGTCCAGTCCTAATTATGAATTCACCTGCAACTGCGGTACACAATGCATCGGTCATACGACCAGAGGTATTTCGAGACGGAGAGTAGATCACTGTCCGGCATCAATGCGGCACGGCACTGTCAAGACGGTTCACAGCGCAAGTCTAAAGCACCTGATAATTATTGAACATCGGATCCAGACGAATGACTTTATAAAGCGCTCTATATTGCGGTGAACCGATTTCCGAAAGGACTCAGAAAGTGTATGCTGGCCACTACGGCGGCTATCGCGATCCAAAAACTCTAGCCGGAATTGTGCAAACGGAAAGCACTTATACAAAACATTACTCATCAGTTGACTTTTGGCCATTGACTGCGCAACCTTACAAACGACACCGCATAAATGTGCTGCTCATGTAATAGCTTAACATCCTAACAATAATGTAATTCTTAATTGTATTTGCGTGAGGATAGTTATAAAGCGATCACTTTGCAAATAAGTTACTCTGATTGTTCACCTAGGAAAACAGATGCTCATTGTATTTAAAGTCCCTGCAGCCCGGTTGCAAACCAAAGACAGGCAACATGTTTAAGGCATATGTATGCACAACAGGCAACTGCTCCGTAGCTCTGTATGTCAGTAGTGCTCTTGCGGTATGCAGTTTTGTTTGTGCAAAATGTAGCAGAATTCAGCAGTAAATCCTAAACCGGACGATCGGTTAAGCGGCCATATATGTACTTGGAAGCAGTCGGTTCACTCACCAATAGATGTACAATGTGAAGAAACGAAAGACAGGTGGCGTGCAGATTCACCTAACGTTCAACAGGACGTGCATGAGGCGGGGCAGTACGCCTAACTTTGTGGACACGAAGTTAACCAGGAGCCACAGTATTGTCGATTAGATTACGTGGTGCGCTTGGGAACCGGCAGCGCAGTGCGGTAATGCGTAAAACATTTTTAATTTCATTTCACTTCATGAACCGACTTTAAATGCGTCTGCTTTAGCGACACTTCTTCGGTTGAATGCCAACAATCTATGTAGGCACAAAGCGGAGACGCGACCGTCAGGATTAACTGACAGATCTGTATTATGCGTGTTATTTTAGAACCATCTTCAATTATGATTCAGTCAGCCACAGTGTAGAAGCAATTAAACCCAATTCCTTTAAGACAGCACACTTGTTTTAACAGTCTATTTGCACTACGTTACAAACTATGCTCATGAAATAGTTCGAGGAGATAAATTTGATTCATTCACTTCGACATCACTCACATGTCACACACTGACCTTCTGCAACAACGCTCTCATAAATGTTTGGCCGATGATGTGTCATAATACGTCTACTTCCTGTTCAACACGCTTCCTTCCAGTTGGTTACTTCTCGTATCACCAGCTCATGTACCAATATCCTCGTGAATAAATTGTATAGATTCGGCTGTCAGTTTTCCCCGACTTTCCAGCGATATGACAACGCTGCTCTTTGTGTCATTCCTTTGCCGCAGTTGACGCTCTTGCCTTACGGTTTCACTGCAGTTAGACTATGAGATGTACCCATACAGCAGTTGATACAAACGCAGCAGCTGTACGTTCCTCATACCCTGATTGCCTAAATTGCTACTGGTAGAGGTTACCGAACATAGCACATCACGAACGGTTGATCCCACAGAGTCAGCTTCATCAGCTTCAAGCTGGGTAACCTACCGCACAGTTATGGATCCAGCGGAAAATCATATTGCTCTGTACCCTTAGTTTACCTTGAGAAGCAGTTCCTCATCCTGCTGCCGTTTCACCCACTCAACTCCCTTCTTTCTTAGCGTTCCATCATTACAGTAAATGTACACGTTCGCAATACTTAACATTTACATTAAAATTCGTTCGGATGTGAGTGGAAGAAACTGACTCAGTTGTGCGCTTGTGGTTAGGGTGACATGTGACAGGTGCGAAAAGCTGATTGCATGTTGGGATGCATTAACGGTTTCTTCCCATTCCTCACATTCTAATCCCCTGTTACTCTTTTTGCAAGTGATAATGGTGTCACGCAACTCTCCAGTGCAAATGTATCACTAGTAAATGTGAACATTCATCAGTCCCCTAATATGAGAACCACATTGTACTGACACGCAAACTGTACGGCTTTTCGCACCACAAAACGAACAAATGATTAAAGGGGTTGATGGCTAATTTAGAACATCCCTCCAGCTTTGCATTAAATCCATCCCAATAGTCCTCGCTGGAATCAATCTGTGTTACTTAAGTCACATACTTCCAAGTGTCGTTGGTGTTAATTAAATAATGTTTTTCAGTAAGTGAGAACATCATTCAAATGAGGATTTCCTAACTCTCAGTATGTACATATGGTGTTCCATCCCTCTCGTAACGCAGTGTTGGGCCAAACAATGCGGATTGCGCAACATCGATTCATGCAAGGTTCCGGAATGTGCTTGGAGGGCCATATCACATGCTATCTTGTGGGCGTTCTCCTTCTACGTGATCATTTGGAGCGGCCGGAACTCTTTCTTTACTCAGCCATGCACCGTGTGGGATGGAGTTATTTGGAATCGTGAGTATCTTTTAAAATCGCAGTAAGGTTTACACGTGTGTTATCCTTTAGGCACGTCCAACTTTGCATATTCACACATGGCGAGAGAGCTCAGCAGTTATACGAGGCTTTATCTAATATGTTTGTTTGTTTATATATTTCACAATGAATATGCTTGAAAGCGATGCTTTGTGAACTTCAGTTCCAGAGCCAATATTAGATACTGGGATGGGAGTATCATACCACACTGAATGGGTGGGCCACCTGAGCAAACCAGATAGCCAATCGTCGACGGGTGTAACTGATTTGATTGCTGGACATGGATTGGCCTATGTTCCTGTGTGCTATTCACCGTTTGTTTAAGTGAGTCAAAGGAAGTACCTCATTGCCTCAGGAGTGTCAATAGTTATGGAGGTGAACGCTTAACTTATATCGATGTGTATGGCTTGCCAAACGTGCTGTAATTTTCGCCGAGCTGTGTTTGCTGAATAAACGCTTGACCCTGAAGGACTGATTTGTGCAACAGCTACATCATGGCAACTGCCGATGCGCTTAGTCTAGAAATGTCAGAAGCACAACGATGTATTACGGGTACAAGAGCAAGGCCTAACACTTCCCGTGAAATGGAAATTATTGAGAAAATAAAAAATCATGTTGAAATGGTAAGTACCCATAAGTAGGGGATTTTGATGTAGTTACTTGTGGTTTCGTTGCACCAGCCTCCAAATCAGATGGTCCTGCACATGCGTAGAGATGCACAAGACTGCATTTTCAGCCTGTTACGCATCCATCGGACCAACAAGATTCGAAACCATGACCACCAGCAGTTTTCAACACCGGTCAACAGCTTATGCTACTGGTCCACGGAGGACAGCTTCGTACTGTCATGATTCACAAGCTAAGTTGGATATAGCGCGTTTTATCCTCCGCTATCACACAAGGTACAAACGTTGCAGAGGAAAGGGTTGACGCCGAAAGACAAAATGTCCATTATAATATATATATATATATAATACACAATCTGTGGTACAGATATTATGCTATCGGAATCATGGCTGAATAGGAAAACAGTACAAATACTAAGAAAAGAGCCACAATAAAAGCTTTTTTGTCTATTTTACCACTCGCAGTTTTTGAGATTTTTTCAGTTTGTTCTTTTTAGGGGGAGGAAGAAGGGACACCGCAACACACAGATGCACACGTCCGTCATTGAGATCGATCTTGAACTATGGATTCCAAGGTTTTCCACCAGCAAGTATCCGCATCTCTCGGACCCCAGCCAGGTAGTCGACAACAACCGGCCGAGGAGAACTGTTTCTTCAGCTTTTTCATGCGGCTTCTCCATGCTGCAGGCTGTCCATCAGACCGTCTCTTCCAGCCCTGTCCAGCAACCGAAAACAACGCACGGCGCGGGTAACGCTGGACAGGCATGCGCAATACGTGTCCAAACCACCACAGTTGATGCAGTGAGATGAGCTCCTCGAGCGAGTGGCTTCCTCGTCCCAAGACACGCTGGCTAACTTCCACATTGCTTACGTGGTGCTGCTATCACACATGGGCAACGAACCGCAGACAGCGGTGCTCGAAGACGGATAGCCTGCTCAAGTCATCTTTACGAATGGGCCAGGTCTCGCATCCGTACAACCATACAGCACGAACAGTTGCACAATAAACCCGCTTTTTGATGAAGAGACGAATGTCGTGGCGACGCCACAAATGCCTCTGCCTAGAAAAAGCGAGGCGTGCTATCGAGATGCGCATCGAAATCTAGTCTCAAACAGCCCCGCCAGCAGTGATGAGAATTCCCAAGTAGACAAAGCTCTCCACAAACTCTAGGGTCTCACCAGCAAGAGTGAGTGCAGGCATAGGCACCTGCCAGTCTTGGAAGAGAGCCTTGCATTTAGATGGCGAAAAGTACATACCATACTTTTATACTTCAATCGCCAAGCGGTTTAGTGTTGGACGATGTGTGGATTGTCACCCAGCAAGACGATATCATCAGCATAATCCAAATCAACATCTCGACTACCTGGGAGGAGCTCAACGCCAGCGTTCAACGAATCACCTAGAGCGTTCTTCAGGACATCCTCAATTGCAACGTTGAATAGGAACGGAGAGATAGAGCATCCTTGTCGAATTCCATTGGAGACCACAAAAATAGGTGAAAGCTTGCCATAAGCCCTAACCTTGCCCGAAATCAGACTATAGAGAGAGCGCAGTATGGAGACGAACTTCTCGGGGACACCATTTCTCAGCAGGCAGTGCCACAGTACTGTACAATCAACGGACTTGAAGGGTGCACGGATATCCAGGAACACAGCAATCGTTGGCTTCTGATACACATGGCGGAGCTCAAGGATCTGGCGGAGCGTGAAGATTTGATCGATGCAGTCGCGACCAGGGCGAAACCCAGCTTGTCCTTCTCGTTGCAACCATTCGCGTGTTGGGGCTAGCCTGCGAAGTATGATGGACACAAACAGCTTGCAAATGACGGGGACTAAACTTATTTCTCTTTAGTTGGAGCAGATTGTGCGCAGGCCCTTTTTAAAGCTAGTGATGACTATCAATTCGCCCCCAGATGACGGAAGTTTCTCTTTAGACCAAATTTTCGAGAACACAGCGGTGAGTGCTCGAACCAGCGAAGCGCCACCATCTTTAAGTGGAGCTGGAGAAAGATCATCAGGGCCGGAGGGTTTATAACGTTTCATGTGTCGGAGCTCCTGCTCCATTTCCTGCTAAGAGGGAGGATCTGTGGGGGTAGACCACTCGGCCCCAGCGCGAACGCCAGAGGTAGCAGATGGAGCTGGGGGTCAACAAAACTGCGAGCCGAAGTGTTCGGCCCATCGCTTCAACCATCATTGAAGATTGGTGATTAAGGTGCCATCCTCTTCACATATAGTTTCACTTATACCAGATCGAACACCTTCGGTGACTCGAATGAGATGGAAAAGTTTTCTGGTATTACCAGAGACTAGCAAGGTCCATCTCTCTAGCACGTTCACACCCCCAACCTTCGCGGTCTATTTGCAGACTCCTGCGCAACTCTCGACCAAGGGATTGGCGTTCTTCACTGTGTCTGGAATCCGACGGGATCAAGCGGCTTTTGTCTATCAGCGACAAGGAGTCGACGGAAATCCAATGTTTCGGTTGGTGACGGGCAACTCAACAAGTGTCGATACTGGCGGAAACTGAAACATTTTGATTTGTGCTCACTGCGAATCGAGGTCATCGTCAATAGTTGAGCTAAGCAAGATTGACAGTGAGGCTTGGTACCTGGTTAAAATTGCAGGCTTTTGTAGATTTGCCACGTCCGGTCGGTAGTGAGCGCGCTTAGGTGATCCTCCGAAACGAATGAAAAAAGTTTAGCATGAAGCAATGCGTGATCGGTCTAGATATGTTGACCAGTACGATCGGCAGTCCGTTACGCTTCCGCGCCATCTGTAGCTGATAGCTATGTGGTCAATCTAGGAGCACTCTTGCGTTTGTGAGGGCGGGCGTCAGGTAGCAGTGTGTCTCCTCGAGTGCCGAAAACTAGTGATCGAAAGAAACAAGCGATGATCAGAGTAAAGAGCAAGCAGTCTGTCTCCATTGTCTGACCGACTTCCACTGAGACCAAACCTACCCCCAAGATGGTGCTCGCTTGGTGAAAGGCGGCCAACCCGTGCGTTAAATTCCGCGGCAAGAATGACTAAATCAGTCCTTTTGGAGGAACGCAGGAGTTCATGTTGTTGCTGGTAAAAGCTACCTTGAACTGTATCCGGGCTACAGTCTGTAGGCGCGTAGGCGGAGACGACAAACAAGGCACGCTTAACGTCTCGACGCCTATTTACGTTACATGAACCTCGTAGTCTGATTGCACAAAGCTGACTGTTGACTGGGATCCAGTCAAGCAGAGCTGGTTCAGACCTGGCACTCAGTGCAACCCCAACACCGACTTGGCCAGTGGCAGCAGTTTCTGGGTCTACGGAAAGCCGCAAGTAGTATTTGGCGTTAGGGTTTACCAGAGAGTCCATTCTGATGACGGCGCTAGAGTCTTGTAGTCTGGTCTCTGAAAGGCAACAGATGTCTACCGAAAGCGTTTCAAGAGTACCGGCTAGAGATGCTTGTCGTCCGATCTGCATCAAAGGGCCAACATTAACCGTTGCAAGGATGAATCGAGAACCAGGTCAAAGAGCAGGAGCTTCGGTGGAGTGAGAGGCGGTTGCGATCGCAGGGCATTGAAAACCGGGAGTTTGGCTGTTGCTTCCATCAGTTGCGAGACGTTGGTCGTTTGTGACGGTGACCGTAGAAGACATAAGAGTACATACAGGTGAAGGACGGGAAGTGAGGCGATCTGTGAGTTGAGGTTGAGCGGTTGAATTAGCACAGAAGATAGGCATAGCAGAAGCAGTAGCAAGCAGGTTGGTCCGTGATTCATCAGTGGGCGTGATACTACCCGGTTGCCCAGACCGAAGTAGAGGATTGTCTTAGGGGCCCTACCCCGAGCCTTTGATCAAAGATCTAACCTACAAGGCATCAGGGCGATGTGAGATCGTCGCATGCCGTTGGGAGCCGGTGACCAAATAGATGGTTCATACGCCTTTCGGTCCGTGAAGGACCAGGGGCCCAACGCACCCTTAAAGTACAACGGCTCTCAGGGAGGGGCAAGAGGCAGTGACTTTACTTAGTGGCGAGTCACATCCGCCGCGTCACAGTGTTGTTAAACAGACACCTGTGGCTTTTTATAGGGAGAACGCTTACCACGCGAAAACCCACCACATCGTAGAACACTGCCGACGAACCATTCGCTGGAACGGGAAATACCCGAAGCACCCAGCTAGCACCACGAGGAGGTTGTTCGTCAAGCCAGCCAAAATGTCCATTGCCAGTAACTATGTACGACATAGCGTTTAACAACTGGCCTGGAGGGCATATTTTGGTGTACTTATGTGGGATTTTGATGCAATTAATTGTGGGTTCGTCGCACTAGTTTCCATATCATATAGTCCTCCGCATGTCCAGAAAAATGTCTTGGTTGACGC